TTGTACACAGGAAGACATTATCAGCTGCCATCAAATTCTCTCATAAAACATCATCAGTTGACATCCAATTCTCTCATAGGGACACATCATTAGCTGAAATCAAATTATCTCTTAGGGAGACATCATCAGTTGACATCAAATTCTCTCAGAGAGACACATCATACATAATTCTCCCACACAAGGACATATACAGTTTTTCTAAACAAAAACACATCTCGCACCCAGTTCTCCTACTTCATCTGACACCTACTTCTCCCACACAAGGACACTTCATCTGACACCTACTTCTCCCACACAAGGACACTTCATCTGACATCTACTTCTCCCACACAAGGACACTTCATCTGACACCTACTTCTCCCACACAAGGACACTTCATCTGACACCTACTTCTCCCACACAAGGACACTTCATCTGACACCTACTTCTCCCACACAAGGACACTTCATCTGACACCTACTTCTCCCACACTGGCACACATTAACAGCTCACACCCAGTTCTCCATCTAGTCTCCTCTTCCCCCCCCCCCTCCCCCCACAATACCAACAGAAACAGACGATGTGTACAAAAATGGCAGTCGTGAATAAAACTGAAGATCTGAGGCACTTGAATATCTGCATGGATGACACAAGGTCAGTCCGTTGCCAGTTAGTTACAGGTTGTATATAAAAACTGTACAATGGCCACACAAAACGTGCGCCACTTTATGAGCATTACCATGAAGACACTGGCACAGTGACGACGACGACAAATAAAGTTCTGTAAATATACTGATATATGTTCAAAAGGTCACAGAGACAAGCAGGGGTCAGTGAAATGATTACATAATAATAATAATATGCATCCATCTGTTCATAACACAATCACTGGCTACTAAGAAAAATTATCAATGTGTAAATTTTGCGATTTTCACCAAACTGCATTTTCAGGGCCACTGTTTGTCATTTTAGAATATGCCAAAAGATCATTTGTAAATTTCTACTCCAAACAGGTTTTAAAAAAAGGTATTACTGTCCCAAGTATACAATTTTCATTTGCCAGTAATGTTCAGTTTTTTTCGAAACAAGAAATTTTGCATTTTGGTGCCAACATTATTTGCATCAATCAGTAAACACAAGATACGTGTGGAAGACAGGTTAGGACTTGGACTGGGATGATCATCTCACACAGGCTGAATGAAAAACCTACGTTCCACGATCAGAGAGATCAGTCGCAGTTTGCTGTTAGTGTCCAAGCTGCTACATGGTTGGTTGGTTGTGATGTTAGGTTATGACAGTGTCCGTCGCAGCAAGGTTAAGACAGTGCCCGTTGCAGTAAAGGAGTAAGAGGCTGCAGCTCATAGCCATAAATTTGCTCTCAACATAACGCTGACCAATGGACTGACCAGTGGACTGACCAAGGCACAAGGTGGTTAGTTGCCAGCTGGGTTAATCAAATACAAAATTTAAAAAAACCTGTTAGTGATTTATCACTAGAGGAAAAAAAACCTGTTACAGTTAGCAAATGACAAGTGTTACTTTGAGAGTTAATCTGTAATGTGTCAATATTATAAATGTAAATTAGTTGCAGTAATGAGTTCAGCTGAGTTCAGTTGAGAACTAATATAAAAGCACTAGGGACATTCCCAAAATTGTTCTGTCCACATCTCCAGCAGCCAGTTTTGAAGGTATCAGCAACAGTCTGTCCATCTTTTTTTATGGTATCAGCAGCAGTCTGACTATGTCCATCTTGCCTTTCCCCTGAGTGTTGAGTCAACCTGGTCACCCCCCTGCTGCATCATTCTCTCCACACTGATATCTCTGCACATGCTTCTACATTGCTGACTTTCTCCCACAGAGGGGTAACCATATCTAGCTCGCCATGCATCAATTCACTACCCTGTGGTGCTTGTCCAGCCAGCCAATCTGTCTGCCTGCTAATTCCTAAACTCACTTGCATGCCCAGGAGAAAGGATCAAAAGGATGTTAAATACTGAGGGGATTTCTGAAAATCAGGTTTCCCACTCTGCACAGAGCATGCCTGTCCCCACTTCTGTCATCATCATCATCAATCTCTATATCTGCCACTAAGCATCATGAGAAGTAACAGTTTGTTATCTACTACTTGATGGGCAGCAACGGCTTTTGTCATTCTGTGTCATTGTAGAAGCTCTTCAATGTGATCAATCTATGTTCTCCTAGGGCGGTCTCACATCAGATCTTTTCATGCGCAATACCTGTGCTGGCATGGTTCTGGCTGCATTGTTACTAGATGATCAAACCATTTGATCTTCTAGAGGACTTTGGTGGCAGTGAATCCACATCACTCGCCAGAATGGCAGGACTTGGGAATTAAGATCGGCACAGCAAAAAACGAGACGCACACCAGACACGCCAGAAGACTTGTTAATCAACATAGAACTGGGACTATTAGCCATCGGACGTTGGGGTTCATACTGAGGGGAGGATCTGAGCACCTATGGACATGTCCAGAGTGCAATGAGGATAACCCAACTAACTAACTAACTAACTAACCATTTGATCTTCTGTTTCTCAATGAATCTGCTGCCTGGTGGTGTTCCCACAGTCTCTCTGCTAATATAATTTCTAACTTTGTCTCGGATGATTAAGCTGGTGGCTTTTCTCAGGCATCTCTTCTCATAGGTATTAATTTTCACCTAGGTTAGCTTTCGGAATCTCCAAGTCTGGCACAGGCAGCACAGTGTTAGTATGGCTGCCAGTGCCAGTATGTGATGTGTCAATATTCAAGATGTTACATCATCAGTCCCAATAATTTGATAACCACTATTTCATTTCCGCAACTTGATTACTTAAACTGCAGCTTTTAACAGCCGCGAATGGCTGATCCATGGCAAAAGGGTGGCATCATTTTATTGGCACAAGGGTGGCATCATCATCTTGTGCCATTAAACGCCACATAGGGCTTGCAGTCTATTCCCCTATTTCGACTCTATCAAGTACAATCCTTTCAATACCACAGAGGGAATCTAGTCTTGTACCTTTCGCTTCCCTGAGCTAAATTTCCTTTAAGGTTCTCTCTAGTATTTCTCATTTCAGTGCCTGCTTAGTGGTTGTGTTTCTCAACAGGATATGACCATTATATCGCCATTTACTTTTTCTTATAACTGTTGATACGAGCCAGTAATCAGGACATTTCTCCCATTTCTTCCCCTGTCTAAAACTCATCCCATGTTTGTTTGCCAATTTCCTCAGGCCTTTGTTCTGATATGCATTTACATCTTCTCTTCTATGTCTTTAGTGGTTCTCCCACTTTCACTGGATTATGTGCAAATTCAAATAATGGAATTAAAAAAATTGTATCTTGGTCTTAATAAATAGTTTAAATAATGCGGACACAGACAATACATTCGGCAGTTTACTGACTGGCGCATTTTGCTGTGTCTCATCAAGCACATTACTAGAGAGTTAAATCAACACATAATGAAGCACAAAATAAATTACTAGACAGTTAAATCAACACATAATGGAGCACAAAATAAATTACTAGACAGTTAAATCAACACATAATGGAGGACAAAATAAATTACTAGACAGTTAAATCAACACATAATGAAGCACAAAATGAATTACTAGAGAGTTAAATCAACACATAATGAAGCACAAAATAAATTACTAGACAGTTAAATCAACACATAATGAAGCACAAAATAAATTACTAGACAGTTAAATCAACACATAATGGAGCACAAAATAAATTACTAGACAGTTAAATCAACACATAATGAAGCACAAAATAAATTACTAGACAGTTAAATCAACACATAATGAAGCACAAAATAAATTACTAGACAGTTAAATCAACACATAATGGAGCACAAAATAAATTACTAGACAGTTAAATCAACACATAATGGAGCACAAAATAAATTACTAGACAGTTAAATCAACACATAATGGAGCACAAAATAAATTACTAGACAGTTAAATCAACACATAATGGAGCACAAAATGAATCCTTTTCTTGCTGAAACCATGTACCATGTATTGTTTGTGTCCGCATTATTTTTTGCTGAAAACCATGTACCATGTATTGTTTGTGTCCGCATTATTTTTTGCTGAAACCATGTATCATGTATTGTTTGTGTCCGCATTATTTTTTGCTGAAACCATGTATCATGTATTGTTTGTGTCCGCATTATTTTTTGCTAAAACCATGTATCATGTATTGTTTGTGTCCATATTGTTTTTTGCTAAAACCATGTACCATGTATTGTTTGTGTCCATATTATATTATTTTTTGCTAAAACCATGTACCGTGTATTGTTTGTGTCCACATTATTTTTTGCTAAAACCATGTACCATGTATTGTTTGTGTCCGCATTATTTTTTGCTAAAACCATGTATCATGTATTGTTTGTGTCCTTATTAACTTTTGCTAAAACCATGTATCATGTATTGTTTGGGTCCGCATTATTTCTTGCTTAAACTATGTACTGTTTGTGTACGCGTTTTTAAATTTACAAGGAGAAAACATTGTTTTGAATTAAATTATTGAGAGAGAGAGAGAGAGAGAGAGAGAGAGAGAGAGAAAGAGAGAGAAAGAGAGAGAAAGAGAAAGAGAGAGAGAGGAGAGAAAGAGAGAGAGAGTGTTGTGTTGTGTGTGGTGTGAGAGAGAGAGAGATAGAGAGAGAGAGAGAGAGTGTGTTGTGTTGTGTGTGTGTGAGAGGGAGAGAGAGAGAGAGAGAGAGAGAGAGAAAGAGAGAGAGAGAGAGAGAGAGAGAGAGAGAGAGAGAGAGAGAGAGAGAGAGAGAGAGAGAGAGAGAGAGAGAGAGAGAGAGAGAGAGAGAGAGAGAGAGAGAGAGAGATGTTCACTTGATGCACAAATTAAACAAAGAATAAAGGATTATATTTTATTCCCATGGGGGGTTAGAAATTGGGCACACAGGCCCACCACATCTTTAGCCCTCCCAAACTCATCTTTTACACAGAAATTATACATAATCTTAAAAAACCAGCTACAACTAACCTTGAAATATGTATTACAATGAGACTCGTGTGTACGGGTGAGCACGGACTCCGTCTAATGATCTTCTCATTTTTGGTACACCACCTAGAAAAATCCAAGTTAACAAGCAATGTGTCAATATCTGAGATAGGATATAGAAAAATCGAAGTTAACAAGCTATATGTCAATATCTGAGATGGGATATAGAAAAATCGAAGTTAACAAGCTATATGTCAATATCTGAGATGGGATATAGAAAAATCGAAGTTAACAAGCTATATGTCAATATCTGAGATGGGATATAGAAAAATCGAAGTTAACAAGCTATATGTCAATATCTGAGATGGGATATAGAAAAATCCCAGTTAACAAGTCAATATCTGAGATGGGATATAGAAAAATCCAAGTTAACATGTGATATGTCAATATCTGAGATTGGATATAGAAAAATCAAAGTTAACATGTGATATGTCAATATCTGAGATTGGATATAGAAAAATCCAAGTTAACATGTGATATGTCAATATCTGAGATGAGATATAGAAAAATCTAAGTTAACAAGCCATATGTCAATATCTGAGCTGAGATATAGAAAAATCCAAGTTAACATGTGATATGTCAATATCTGAGATGGGATATAGAAAAATCCAAGTTAACATGTGATATGTCAATATCTGAGATGGGATAAAGAAAAATCCAAGTTAACATGTGATATGTCAATATCTGAGATTTGATATAGAAAAATCCAAGTTAACATGTGATATGTCAATATCTGAGATTGGATATAGAAAAATCCAAGTTAACATGTGATATGTCAATATCTGAGATTGGATATAGAAAAATCCAAGTTAACATGTGATATGTCAATATCTGAGATTGGATATAGAAAAATCCAAGTTAACATGTGATATGTCAATATCTGAGATGGGATATAGAAAAATCCAAGTTAACATGTGATATGTCAATATATGAGATGGGATATAGAAAAATCCAAGTTAACATGCCATATGTCAATATCTGAGATGGGATATAGAAAAATCCAAGTTAACATGTGATATGTCAATATCTGAGATGGGATATAGAAAAATCCAAGTTAACATGTGATATGTCAATATCTGAGATGGGATAAAGAAAAATCCAAGTTAACATGTGATATGTCAATATCTGAGATGGGATAAAGAAAAATCCAAGTTAACATGCGATATGTCAATATCTGAGATGAGATATAGAAAAATCCAAGTTAACATGCGATATGTCAATATCTGAGATTGGATATAGAAAAATCCAAGTTAACATGTGATATGTCAATTTTTGAGATGGGATAAAGAAAAATCCAAGTTAACAAGCAATGTGTCAATATCTGAGATGGGACATAGAAAAATCCAAGTTAAAATGCGATATGTCAATATCTGAGATGGAATATAGATTTCTAAAGTGAAATCATGTCATTATAAAAATGTCCACTTGTTACCTGTGACTTGTTATCTGTATCCACCTCTTAGCACACTGGTCTGGCCAATTTGTGCTCCGGCCTCCGATGCAGCAGCTATGCTGTACATACACAGTAAGAGTTGACTGGTATGTCCTCTTTTTTTGCCCCACAGCTGATTTCTGCATGCTCATCATCACTTAATACCCATTTCATTTGTCTCAAAGTCTCCAGAAGGTGTACTTTCAGTATGTCTACCCTATCCATACTTCCTTTCCACCAACCACTGCAAACGCAGCCAGTTTGTCTGCTCTTTCATTTCCTTCCACCTTGGCGTATCCCGGTGTGTACAGCCAAGATAGTTTCTTGAAGCAGGACTTTGGATGCCGTCAACCTTTTGCAGTTTGGAGTTTGCCAGTTTGTATCTTCTTAAGCATGCTCATTGAGACTGTCACTTTCAATGCTCGAGTTTCTTTCTGCTTCACAAGCCATGCAAGGGCCCCTATGACAGCTGCTATCTCCATCATAATGCCAGAAGTAGATGAACTTCATGACTGACTTTCTCCTTTTACTGTCTTTCCATTTATCTGCCCGGCTTTAAAGTCAGCAAAAAGCCCCAAAAAATGGTTATCAGATTTGCCCTCCCCGTGTAGGTTTGGGCCCCTAGTTTGCAGGGAAAAATGGCCCACCCCCTGCCCCCTACACGCATGTCGTAGGAGGTGAATAATTAGACACCTTACGTTCGTTTGGAGAGCATCTGTCTGAGGGGCTAAGAACCAACAGTTTGTATACAAATAAGACAGATCTGCATGCAAAACAACTCAGGTTCTGGAACAGGGCCACAGTTCAGAAGTCGATAAAAAGCCAGAACTTTCTCCCAGAGTGCACAGTGGATGAACAAGGAGGAGGAGGAGGAGTTGAATAAGAAAAATAATATACACAAAAGATATTCCTACTGAAACAGGAAATATATGGAGGTGCTGGACTGAATTCCATCCGTGGTATCTAAGGCGACTGCACAGGATAGAAAAGTAAAGTAAAGGACCCTTTTCCATGCCTTTAGGCGTATAGGGCATTTAGGTCTAGACCTAAATTTTATAGACCGATTGGCACCTTTACTTCCCAGGACTGCAATCCGTACCTACTCAAGGCTGGATGGACCTGGGAGCCAAGGTCATTTTTGAAAAAAGTCTGGCACACAGGATAGAAAGAAATGCTGAAATATATTGCCAGAACTATCTGACATTTGATGGCACAATAGGAAAATGAATGAATGAACGAATGAATGAATGAATGAATGAGAATGAAACAACATACCAGCATGGGCCTGATCTAGCTGACTCTGATACTCAAAGATGGAGGGGCCTGCTCCTAAACCGTAGGGGTCCATGTGTGAAGGCACAGCAGTGGTCATAGGGCCTAGAGAACTGAAGGCGGTCATTGTGGCATAAGGGTTGTACATCAGACCCCCATGGTCCCCGGCTGGGGACACCAGGGGAGGCGGGGCTCCGTTCATGCTGGCCTGGCTTGTGACCACTTGCGGCCCTGGCAGGCGGGACGTCAAAAAGATGGGGCCGCCGGCAGATGATGTGCGCATCTGAATAGCAAGAGGTTGAGCAAGGAATCGAGCAGCCTCTGTGGGGACACCAAAATTACTACATAATTGTCATTCATAGATTATATACAATTATACAAATGTCATCTCTCGATTAAATAAAATATTTTACAACTATCATTTTTAAACTACAAACAAAATATTATAACTATCCTCTTTAACAGGGCCATCTTAATGCACGGGCCTGCTGGGCACCTGTCCATCCTTATGTCATTTCTGTGAGCGGTTGTCGTAGGGGCCCCAGCACACTGGTTTTCCCGGGGGCACCGTAATGCTGTTAAGATGGCCATGCTCTCTAGATTACATAAAACATTTCAAACATACCTCTCAAATTCACATAAAATATTACATAACTATAATCTCCAGATTACACAAAACTATATAATTAGCATCTGTAGATTTTTTTTTACATTGCATAACTATCATCCTTTGCATAAAACATTACAAAATATTTACAGATTACATAAAACATGATTTTTACATAATATTTACCTAACTGCAATCTCTAGATTACGTAAAGCCTTATCCAACTGACATATCTAGATAACTTAAAGCATTACCTAACTAACATAGATCACATAAAACTTCATGTAACGGCCATCTCTAGATTACATAAAACCTTACTTCACTGACGTCTTTAGATTACAGACATTATTACATTCCATGAAACCTTACTTCACTGATGTCTCTAGGGTACACACATTATTACATTACATGAAACCTTACTTAACTGATGTCTCTAGGGTACACACATTATTACATTACATGAAACCTTACTTAACTGATGTCTCTAGGGAACACACATTATTACATTACATGAAACCTTACTTCACTGACGTCTTTAGATTACACACATTATTACATTACATGAAACCTTACTTAACTGATGTCTCTAGGGTACACACATTATTACATTACATGAAAGCTTACTTAACTGATGTCTCTAGGTTACACACATTATTACATTACATGAAACCTTACTTAACTGATGTCTCTAGGGTACATACATTATTACATTACATGAAACATTACTTCACTGACGTCTTTAGATTACACACATTATTACATTACATGAAACCTTACTTAACTGATGTCTCTAAGGTACACACATTATTACATTACATGAAACCTTACTTAACTGATGTCTCTAGATTACACACATTATCACATTACATGAAACCTTACTTAACTGATGTCTCTAGATTACACAAATTACTATCAAACTATTATCTCTAGATTGCGTTAAACCTTACCTAACTAAAATCTCAAGATTACATAAATCCTTTCCTAGCTTACTAACCCAGAATCTTAAGACTACATAAACCTTACTTAACTAACATCACTAAATTACATAAAACCTTACCTAATTATTCTAGATTACATAAGGCTCTACCTAACTATCATCTACAGATAACATAAAACTTGACATAACTATAATCTATAGATTACATAAAACCTTACTGAACTATCATTATCTGTAAAATATGCAATTGCTCTAAGATCGGGCATCTTCAAATTAAAAAAGCTTCTAAATATTCAATAACAGATTCATTATCACCATCATGTGCCATGCTAATAAGCATAAGCTGTCATGTTCTCATAAGATCACAAGAATCACAGATCAGGTCAGTCTTCATGTCTCGCCCCATATGGCCAAATCATCCAGGTATGTATCACTTTGTCTTAACATTGCTCCCTTTCCATCAATCTTGCCAGTCATTAAAAAGTTCTCAAATCCATTCGCTTTCAAAATGTCAAAAAGGCTCTGTTTACATCTCATTTCTCTGACCAGTTTATGACTGTTATCTGTCATTCAATATCAGATTCATGATAACTCAGTAGGTCAGAGATGCAACTGCACTTCCTTTAAATAAAATAATGATTTAATTCTGTGCCATACCCAAGGTAACAACACTCTCATTCTGTGCTATACCCAGGGTAACAACAAACTCATTCTGTGCTAAGCCCTGGGTAACAACAATCAAATTCTGTGCTATACTCAGGGTAACAACAATCTAATTCTGTGCTAATTCTGGGTAACAACAAACTCATTATGCGCTATACCTGGGGTAACAGCAATCTTATTTTGTGCTAAACCCACGATAACAACAATCTCATTCTGTGCTATACCTAGGATAACAACAATCTGATTCTGTACTATACAGGGTCAACAATCTTATTGTGTGCTATGCCCAGAATTACAACAATCTAATTCTGTGCTATATGGGTAACAACAATCAAATTCTGTGCTATACCCAGGGTAATACTAATCTCACTGTGTGCTATAAAAGGTAACAACAATTGAATTCTGTGCTATACCTAGGGTAACAATAATCTCATTCTGTGCTATACCCAGGATAACAACAATCTCATTCTGTGCTATACCCAGGATAACAACAATCTCATTCTGTGCTATACCCAGGATAACAACAATCTCATTCTGTGCTATACCCAGGGTAACAAAAATCTGATTCTGTGCTATACCCATAATTACAACAATCTAATTCTGTGCTATACGGGTAACAACAATCAAATTATGTGCTATACCCAGGGTAACAACAATCTCATTGTGTGCTATAAAAGGTAACAACAATTGAATTATGTGCTATACCTAGGGTAACAATAATCTCATTCTGTACTATACGCAGGATAACAACAATCTAATTCTGAGCTAAACCCAGGGTAACAACAATCTTTGTGCTATACTGAAGATAATCTAATTATGTGCTATACCTAGGGTAACATTAATTTCATCCTGTGTTATATCTAGGGTAACAACAATCGAATTATGTGCTTTACCCAGGGTAACAACAATCTAATTATGTGCTATACCGAGGGTAACAACAATTTCATCCTGTGCTATACCCAGGGCAACAACAATATCATTCTTTACTATACCCAGGGTAATAACAATCTAATTCTGTACTTTACTCAGGTTTCAATAACAATCAAATTCTGTGCTACACCCAAAGTAACAACAATTAAATTCTATACTTCTGTACTATACACAGGGTAGCAAGAATCTAATTCCATGCTATATCTAGGGTAGCAGCAATATGTGCTATACTTAGGGTGACAAACAAAGCAAATTATGTGCTATTCTCAGGGAGACAACAATCTAACTTCATGCAGTGCATATCTAATTGTGTACTTTATTCAGATCAGCAAGAATCTAATTTTGCTCTATATCCAGGCTGATAATTTAATACTTGCTATATCCAGGGTAGATAGAATTAAATTACATGATATATCCAGGGTAAAAAGAATCTAATTCTGTTGTATATCCAGGGCAACATAAATCTAATTATATGCTAAATCTTAAATCTTGTTTTAGTGGCTACAATGACACATTAATGACATGTTAATGGATACAATATGTTTTAGTGGATACATTGACACTTTAATGGATACAACAGTGTGTTTTAGTGGATACCTTGACATTTTAATGATTACAACAGCTTGTTTTTGTGGATTCATTGACATTTTAATGGATACAACAGTATGTGTTAGAGAAGACATGAAAAAGTATTAATGAACACACCTAACATGTTTAAGTGGGTATACAGATACACATCACTTGTTAAGGGAGTTTTAGTGGATACACAAAAATGTTTTTGGATACTTTAATGGTCACATAAACACTTGTTAATGGGTACACAAGCATGTTTTAGTAGATACATAAAAAAAATTTTTTTTATTAGCGGATACACTAAGTTTAAGTGGATACGTGAACATATGTTAGTGGATACACTAGCATATTTTAGTGGATACAGCAGCACACTGTTAAAACACGACCCAAGCATCAACTTCTACATAAGCACATTTCAGAGGACAGAGATACATAAGCATGCATCAATGGACATATAAGCATGCATCAATGGACATATAAGCATGCATCAATGGACATATAAGCATGCTTCAGTGGGTGCATAAGCAGAACTTTTTCTAGAACAGTGATCTCCACATTTTTCTTCAGGTGGCACCCCCATATGTATATAATAGCAAGACCCTCTCCCCCCCAAGCAACAAAAGAGGAGATCAAAAAGCAATATCCCAGACACTGTTAATAAGAAATGTGGAAAAAACGAACACGTAGTTTAAAGTGTCAAACAGCAAAAGACAGAATCATTAGCAACTGGTTATCTAGTGTCCAAGTATCAATGTGATGTTTGACACTGATTTATCTTGGTGATATCTGCTATTTTTAGCTCTGACGTCAGATAAGACCCCACGGAGATAATTCTCAAAATTAAGCTGGCAGAGCTCTTTTGTTTTCATGACTGTTAAAGCTGAATATCTTATTATTACAAGTACAGTTGTAAACAATTTCAACTAGTTGTAAACAATTTCAAAATTACTCAACACCCCCTTGAAAATTCCTCTCGCCCCTCTAGGGGGCACACACCCAGGTTGAAGACCACTGTTGTAGAGGTACACAGTATCAGTACTGTCGTTCAGGCCACACTCAAACAATTATCCCCAACTTTAGACATTTTGTGGTGATTGTAGCGACACCTTTATTTTATTTCTAGGGGGGAAAGCCCTATTTATAAGTACATACAAATGAAAACATTTATATGTACTGGAAAGCCCTATTTATAAGTACATACAAATGAATACATATATATGTACTGGCAGAAATAAACAAGTACTAAAGTATGTGTGAATACAAAAGTATAAACCACACAAATGGAACTGTACATGAAAATCATGCTGGTGGCAAGGTCAGCCCTAAGGATGGAGAGATGCCTGAGGAAAATATTTTTAACACAGATGTTGTGAGGGTGGTAGGTAAGTATGAGAATGGGTCTGTTGTAGTGACGTTTAGGCTTGGAAACGAGAGTTTCAGCACGATGAATAGAATGTGCTCAGTGAAGGGCAGCAGATAGGACATGTTCCGGATACCATAGGAGTGGGAAGAAGTCCAACATTTCTAGGGCCTTGTCGAGAAAGTCGTCGAGAGAAAGTCGTCGTTTTTCCGGGCATAGAGCGGAGAATAGAAGCTGTGAGAAAAGGAGTGGAGTCCCTGCTGGGCAAAGGAATCAGTAGACTTATAGTTCACCGAGGTGCTCAGGTCTTTAGAGTCCATGGTGGCGTGAGATCCAAAAATTCATGGAAAATTCATGAATGTTGGAACTGCATCGGATGCTGGGAGGGAATTTAGAAAAAAAATGAAGTCCTGCAGTTGTGGAATGTATTAGGGTGAGAGGCACAGAAATCACTGCATAGCTGTAAACCACAAAACATCATGCCAACCATCCTCTTTAAGGCAAAATAGGAAGAAGAAACCTGAAATACAGTGACACATAAGACAGGAAAAAACGGTGCTCAGTTAATATTAGGCAGAATAAGAGGTACTGGTTACTTGTAAGAAAAATTAAACACACTGAACTAGCTAAACAGAGATGGTAATATCTGAATGGGGTTAAAAACAAGATAGATCAAACACATACAGTGGGTTAGACAAATCACCAACTGGTTAAAAAAAAATTAAGGGCAAATTAAACATGTGAAACGGATTAATATTACATACAACAGATCAAGCACCTGAGATGGGTTAACGTGTGAGACACTGCTGAATATTTGTGTTAAAGGGTTAGCACTGGCATTAAAGATAGAACAAGAACAAACCATCGGGCAAAGATCCAGCCCCGCTAACTGGGACCAGGTGTGGCAGCTGACCCGGGCTACGTAACGCTGGATGGCCTGGTGGGCCAGGGGGGAGAAACATGGGCACCCCTCCCAGGTGGAGATGAGCTTCTGTAAGGGTAAGATGAAAGAAGACACTGGTTACAATGGGGACTACTCTAATATCAAGTCAAGCATCTGCCGCTAACATGCACAGAGTTGTGTTTTCCTGACCCCGATGGTTTTACATTTTCTTATAAACTGTTCATCTACTAGCTTGCCTCAATTATAGATGACTGAAAGATGGTGATGAGTGGTCTGACTCACATCAGCTAAACCTCTTCTTCTTCACTTTCTCGAGGAAGATAGATTATGCGACTTGCTCCACAAAGACACACTGTGCTGTTGTAGAGTTTATGTCATCTTTCCATTTTGTTCTTGGTCTACCTCATGCTCTTTTGGTGGATGCTTTGCATGGTATGGCAGAACAGGGGATTCTCTGTAAGTGGGTAAACTATCTGATTTTTTTTTTTTTTCATGACTGTGATTTAAAAATAAACCTTTGTTGACTTTTTTCTCCTATGACCACACTTCTGATTTTTTTCTTCTGGTTACAGCCCTTCTCAGACAACTGACTTCCATGGCGACTCATTTTCTTTTGTGGTTTGTTGTGCTTGTGACCATATCAACCACTGGTAGCACAGAGTGGGAACCAACATGCTTTGTATGAGATGTTTTTTTTTATGATTGGGATTTTTTTTTGTGAAGAACAAAAAGGTGGAAAGGGGGCAGGGGAGGGGACTAGCTGCCTCAATACTACATCTCTGCTTTCTTATAATTCACAGAATAATGTCCCTTCCTACTGGCAGATAACTTAAATGGAAGTAACGAACCCTTGTCAAGCTTTTAGGGCATTGGGCAAATGGTTCATTCATTCAGTAGCATGTCCATCGCGGAACCTCGCTGCCATAACAACCCTCCGGAAAACCTTCCTATCCTGAGCAAGATGTCCTGCGTCTGATACACCCATCTGGAGATCATTTGCCACATCCTGCACCCATCTTCTCCTTGGCCTTCCTCTTCCTCTCTTCCCAGGCATATACCCCTCCATTATTGTTCTCTCTAGACTTCCATGACGTTTCAAGTGACCAAAATATTTCAATTTTCTTTGTTTTTATTGTCTTTAAAGGAGCCAACCCTCTTCAATATTCAGCTCTTGAAGTATGGATGCATTTGTTCTTTTCTTTACCCAAGATATTCTTAGAACCTGTCTGTAACATTTATATTCAAATGCATTTATGCGCTGTTCCGCTTGTTTAGTAAGTGTCCAGGTCTCACAGACGTATGTTGCAATGGGAAAGATGCATGCTCTTAAAAATCTGACCTTTGTAATTCTATCTGTACAATTCCATAATTTATTCAGTTGTTTTAGTCTTTGAAGAGCAATTGATAGTCGCCGTTTAATTTCTTTCATTGGGCAAATGGTGCTGGACATATGTTTGTGAGATCAATCAGCACTCAATCAGCAATGTGATCAGCATTAAGTTGACTGTCCAAGACATTAGCTGGTAATTACTGTAGACGAGGATCAACTGGGGAGCCAGGGCCAATAACGAAAAATCAAATCAACTGTTGTGTGGATCTGAACCCTAGACCTTCACGTTGTAAGGCCAGTGTCTGGCCTACAAGCCACAGTGGCTCCCTGGCAGATAATTTTAGTTATTATTAAAGAAAATGAACAAACAATTCATGGGTTTTATTTAGCATGATATGAACAAATACTCCTGGCAGTAACTGAATATTTACATTAATAACAGCTGCATGTTAACACTAACTGTGTTTATGGTAGCTGCACAATGATGGCTCACCTGTGTCCACGTTGACATTAATATATTGTCACACAGCTGTCACAAGTTCACAGCTCCATCCACAAATACTAACACACAGCTGTCACAAGTTGACAACTTCACACACATATACTGACACAGAGCTGTCACAAGTTGACAACTTCACACACATATACTAACACACAGCTTTTACAAGTTGACTTCACTCACATTTACTAACACACAGATGTCACAAGTTGATGACAACATTCACATATACTGACACACAGCTGTCACAAGCTGACACCTGCACACACATATACTGACACAGAGCTGTCACAAGTTAACTCCACCCACATATACTAACACACAGCTTTCACAAGTTGACAATTTCCCTCACATATACTAACAAACAGCTTTCACAAGTTGACAATTTCCCTCACATATACTAACACACAGATGTCACAAGTTGATGACAACATTCACATACACTGACACACGTTGACAACTCCAAGCACAAATATTAAAAACACAGCTGTCACAAGTTGACAACTCCACCCACATACTGACACAAAGCTGTCACAAATCCCAATTCCAGTTTTCCACAACAAAATTCCAAACTTGATCCTTTTTCAGCCGCCTGGAGGCCTGCTATATGAAGGAAGGTCCCTTGGTTGTCTTATTTGGTTTCCATTTATATGTGGTGTATAGTCACACCTGATTTTCCGGTTCTTTGCTTCACAAATTGACAACTTCACCCACATATACGACACACAGCTGTCACAAGCTGACACTTTCACCACACATATACTGACACAGAGCTGTCAAAACCCCATATACTGACATACATTTGTCACATGCTGACAAACAACTCAACCCCATATACTGACAGAGCTGTCAAAAGCTGACAACTCCACCCCATATACTGACAAACAACTGTCACAAGTTGACAACTCCAGAATATATATGCTTATATATCACACTGCGGTGCCGATAAGCATAGGCTATCACATTTCATCATCTCAGACAACCACCAGAATGATGGATCAGGTCGGTGTTTTTATATCACCCCATCCATTTGGCCACACCATCCACTTATTTCTCTCAACTTCCCCTTCCTTTCTTTCCATCAATCTTACCAGTTGTTACCAAGTTTTTGATTCCATTCATTATATCTCCACAAACACCAACAGTCTGCATCCAATGTCTCTAATCAGTGTTGTCTGTTGCTTTTTGTTTGTCTGTAATTCCATATTTTCTCCAGGTCATGTCAGTGTGTTGGGAAACGAGTAGGAGGACAGATTAGCTGGTTCTGCTCCACTCAGTAGTAAATTTTTTGTATGACAAGCAAGATGCTGTGAGGGCCCTTTGGGAGCAAGTGAACAGTGCAGAGACACAAGTAGATCACAATGGGAGAATGGCACTGCCAGGCATTACAGGGGGATCTGCTCAACGCTCAGTGGAAAGGAAAGATGGATGTACAATCAGACAGTGACTGATGCCATCAGAATTGGAACTCTTTGCTTGCTGCTGAAGATGGGGATGGCTTATGGGAGTGTCCCGAGTGCTATAATGTTAATTCTGAATTCAACATTGAACATTCAGTCCATGATATTCTTTGCACTCTTCTCAAACAACCACATCAGTGTGAACAAATATTGTTCAGCTGTTCTGCTGATTCTCCATGCCTTGTTATATAAATAAATGGTTTGTATATGGCACTTCAAAACCTTTACTCACTGCAAGTGGGCATGTACTAACAGGCAGCTAGTATGAGCATACAACATAGAGACATATATATATATATATACACACAAGTGATATAGCCAGGTTTTTAGATCACCAGAAGTCAAATTTAGTCCCATAAATTACCAGTGCTGGTAACAGGCCACTAGAGACATCTTCTGCTCATGCCAGCAAGAAACAGAAAACCCACAGCTAATATATGCATGCAGACAATCAGTGAAAGCAAGGGGGAAAACAAACATTATCAAATAACTGACAGAAAGATGAACATACAGTAAATCACTTGATGGAAAGATAAGTAAAAAAAAAAAAAGGCAGCCAAATTAAGATTTTGAATGAAAGATTCAGTTCTTTTTTTTTTTAAAGAAAGATTCAATAAGGATAAACAGCTGAAAGAACAGAAAAGCAGATGATAAAACAGCCAAATGACTGATCCATAACTTACCAAAGATCTATATGTACATTTAAATACGAGTAGAAACACAGTGATATACAGATTTATAAATGACAAAACAAAGAAATGAAAATTTATAAATGATTACGCAGCTGAATATACAAATTAGAAAAAGAATCCAGATTATAAAACAGCTGAAAGAAAAAAATAATAAAGACTAATAAGATAGAAATCAAAAAATTATGAAACAGATGACCAAACATTACAACCCAAAAATGGTTTAACCAAATGATAACATTATAAATAATGAAAAAACAACAACAACAAACAAAAAAAAAAAGATTTGCATATATTAAATTGGCTGAAAGGATTTACAATGACAAATCAGAAACTTAAAAATGTGTATGATCTAACACGTTTTAATTTGTGTTTTTTCCTCAAAATCATTGTGTTCTTTCTGTATGCAAGTATATAAAGGATATAAAATAATAATGCAAGCTAAAAGTCCATAGCTACTGAACACATCAGAAGTACCTCAACCAAAGAACAAAGTAAACAATCAATAAATATGTCACCACACAAAGTAAACATGACAGAAGAGAGTTAAAAAGCCAGTGAACATTATATCAAGTGGGCACTCACAAACCAAAATTCATGCTCTTTTAGGACATATATAGATCTACAGAAATTCAACAGTAAACTAGAAATAAACTAGAAAGATACTGGGTGCTAGGGTACATCTGAACACAAACACACAGTGACTGGGGTGGTTCTGATGTCTGCTGCCTACACTTTGGTAATACTCAAATACATCTTCAATAGATCGTTCATATCTATGGTTTCTTTCTTGTTAGATAGTTTTTCCCCCTCTAAGACTGCAGTCTGCAGGATTAACATCTCAAGGAAGAGAATCAAACAGGTACAAATCCAAGAAACCCTGTTTAACTGTATAGCCTTATATTATTAGCACCTTTCCATCTTTCCAGATGATAGTGTTATACTGCGCTGTGTAGACGCATAGGACTCACATCCCATGGCGATGGCGAGTGTGACTAGCAAGACCTGCCCATGTTTAAAAAAAAAGTCTTCTGCAGCATGAGATTTCAGGACCACTGTTGTCAACATTTGTGTTTTTTCTTTTTCTTCACAGATGCTCAGCTCTCATTGTTTCTTCAACACCTGTATTATTCATGTCCATCTTGCATACATCTTTACATCATAGTAGAGGTCAGCCTGGACATCCTCTTCCCATCCACTGGACTACAGGTAATTTCATAACCATTTTGCAGTGTACCAATATAATTAGGCTTTCCCGGATGTGTACCTATTTGGTTCTCATCCTTTAGATGTAAATATTACAGACTGCATTCTTGGAAGTGCAACCTAACATACAAAATAATCTGCATCCAAAGGAAACAAACTGCGAGTTAACATTAGCTCTGCAAGCTGGATCTAAATGAAAATATATCCAGTTCCCACTGGCCATGCAAATCATATATTTCACCAGAATTGTATTTCTACCAAAAAAAAACAGAGTGGCAGCAGCAGCATCAAATCACCCCAGGCCCATGCATGTTACGATAAAAGAACAAGCCAACCAGACAGCAGCAAATACAGAAATCAACGGCAATGAGTGGGAGCAACAGCAGCCAGGCAGAACATACAAGAGGCAACCAAATCATCACAGAAATACATGAGGGGGGATTGCCGGAGAAGTCCAAGCAACACTTACGACCAGGAATCGAACTCTGAGGTGAGGACGGAGATGGCTTGGTGGTGTCCCGATATGTCCCATTAATAATTGCTAACTCCATTAGCTGACGTTTCTTTAAGTCGTCTTCACCATCAGGCTAGAAAAATAGACGAGTGCAAGGTCTGATGTTAGAAATAACTACGTGGACATTTATGTTGCAGCTATACTGCCATCTTGCCATCTGCAACAGGAAAAGACGTCAGGCTAAATAAACATAAACTTACGTGCAAAATGGGCAGGGTGGAAGAATTTGGCATCCCTGTAGGTTCCGTTCATTATAGCCAGCTCCATCAGCTGCCTCTTCTTCAAATCATCTTCACCATCGGGCTGAAATATACATGGCTATGAAAATATCAGATGTCCTCTAGTCACAACTAGAGCTGTGCTGCCATTTCTCTATGGCTGAAATATACATGGCCATGAAAATATCAGATGTCCTCCAGCCACAACTAGAGCTGTGCTGCCATTTCTCTATGGCTGAAATATACATGGCCATGAAAATATCATTTGTTATCCAGTCACAACTAGAGGTTTACTGCCACTTCCCTATGGTTGAAATATACCTGGCTATGAAAATATCATATGACCGCCAATAAAAACTAGAGGTTTACTGCTACTTCTCTATGGTTGAAATATACCTGGCTATGAAAATATCATATATCTGCCAATAACAACTAGAGGTTTACTGCTACTTCTCCATGGTTGAAATATACGTTGCTACGAAAATATCATATGTTATCCAGTCACAACTAGAGGTTTACTGCCACTTCTCTATGGTTGAAATATACGTGGCTATGAAAATATCATATGTCTGCCAATAACAACTAGAGTTTTACTGCTACTTCTCTATGGTTGAAATATACGTGGCTATGAAAATATCATATGTCATCCAGTCACAACTAGAGATTTACTGCCACTTCTCTATGGTTGAAATATACTTGTCAGCTGTACTGACATTTCTCTATGGTGGAATTATACGTGGCTATGAAAATATCATATGTCTGCCAATAACAACTAGAAGTTTACTGCTACTTCTCTATGGTTGAAATATACGTGGCTATGAAAACATCATATGTCATCCAGTCACAACTAGAGATTTACTGCCACTTCTCTATGGTTGAAATATACTTGTCAGCTGTACTGCCATTTCTCTATGGTTGAAATATACGTGGCTATGAAAATATCATATGTCTGCCAATAACTAGAGGTTTGCTGCCGCTTCTCTATGGTTGAAATATTTGTGGCTATGCAAATATCATATGTCCGTCAAAAACAACCAGAGGTTTACTGTCAATTCTCTAGGGTTGAAATATATGTGGCTATGAAAATATATGTCTGCCAATAACAACTAGAGGTTTACTGCTACTTCTCTATGGTTGAAATATACGTGGCTATGAAAATATCATATGGCCCCAATAACAACTAGAGGTTTACTGCTACTTCTCTATGGTTGAAATATACGTGGCTATGAAAATATCATATGTCCGCGAATAACAACTAGAGGTTTACTGCCACTTCTCTATGGTTGAAATATACTTGTGAGCTGTGCTGCCATTTCTCTATGGTTGAAATATACGTGGCTATGAAAATATCATGTCTGCCAATAACAACTAGAGGTTTACTGCCACTTCTCTATGGTTGAAATATACTTGGCTGTGAAAATATCACGTCATCCAGTCACAACTAGAGGTTTGTTACAATTTCTATTTGGCTGAAATAAATATTCAGTTATGGAAATATATCTCCTCCACTCACAACCAGGTGTGCTGCCATTTCTCCACAGCTAATAGATCATCATTATGCTGACTCGTGTGGGCAATCATGCCTCTCAACAATCTGCGATCTCCTGCAGCATGTATCAGTTCGTGTGCCGACACACCTCCATGCCATAATAGATACAGGCTATGAAAACATAATGTCTTCCAATCACAACTAGAGGTCCCATGCCATTTCTCTTAGGCTATCACAGCAGTTCACAATACAGCAAAGACTGTCCCCAGCAGGAAAGAGTGTCACTGTATTATACACAAATGTAACACTTGGCAACGACCTTCGAGGTAACTCGTTTTGTCTTCAAATTAGGGGAGACAATTGTTTTGATTTACTATTTTACATGGTTAATTCCCTTAGTACATATTTGGTGAAACATTTCAAAAATAAACGGTCGGCCAAATGTGTTGTTTATTATTAATTAGTAGTACTGACACATCTCTGTCCCTAGTTTCATCAAATACAGGACTGCTAATGGCCGGCTCCGACACCGCTGTGCCGTGTGCAGTCTATATCTGTAAATTATGTTATCACAACCCGAGGTTACTTGACTTGGGGCATTCCCATTCGTACGCAGTCTTCTGATGCTGATTTTACACACAACCCAGTCCTTCGTTGGATGCACATTTTTTGTTTGAAGCCCCAAACTGGCTTCTGCAGGGGGGCCCTGAATATAGCTAGGGCATAGATATAGCCTAGCCAAAGATATGGCCTAACAGCTGAAAGGGGTTTCTGGGGTGTCTCCACGGGTGATCCTCATCCGCATGGTGGCACTTTGTGTCACTGGGTGTTTATCGCCTGTGTGATGTCCTGGTGGGGCACAACTACCTACGTACCTACCTACCTACCTCCAATGCTAGCTAGCTAACTAACATACACCAAAACCCATCATAATGAAACAACAGTAACACATCACATCACATACCCCAAGGACTGACCTACATCCTATACTTCAGGACTTTAAAAAAATGTACTGACACACAAGTACAGGACAGATGTGAGAGAACAGTTGATAACATCAGTGATGTGCACTTACAGCAGGAACTAACAATTTCTTGACTTCCTCCTTGGCTTTCTGTAACTTGATCTCCCCTCGATTACGCGTGTCCTCGACTGTGATCAGAACATGCAGGTCTTCATTCAGATGTTCCCAGTTGGCCTTTCCTCGGTTCTGATCTTCCTACAATAAAAGAGTTCACCAAACAGGTCAAGTTTGATGTCACAAAGGTAATGATTCACAAATTTATGTAAAGAAGACAATAATTCATCTCACAGTTGTAAAAGGTGATGTAACAAAGACTTCTCAAATTCACCAGTAACAACTGTTAATATATCAAAGAAAACATTTTTTTTAACCACTCAGGTTTTACATTACTCTGTGGGGATATCACTCTCACATGGACAACATTCTATGGAGACATCTTACTATGGGGACATCACTCTCACATGGATAACACTCCATGAAGACATCATACTATTGGGGGCCTCACTCTTCCATGGACAACACTCTAAAGAGACATCATACTATGGGAACATCACTCTCACATGGAGAACACTCTATGGAGACATCACACTATGGGGACATCACTTTACAGGGACACCATTTTATGGATATCACCTAACAGTAACATCACCCTACATCAGAGCTATTCACTTGGCGGGCCACGGGCCCAGATGTGGTACGTAGATGCCTAACAAATGGCCCGCGGATTACATGCCAACGATCTCCATTTTCCAACATGTTGGCCCATGAGCAAACTTAGCTGAATGACCCTGCTCTACATGGACAGCACTCGACAGGGACACTACTGTACATGGACAACACTATACAGTGACATCAATCTTCAGGGACACTACTGTACATGGACAACACTACACAGTGACATTAATTGACAGGGACACTACTGTACATGACAACACTACACAGTGACAATAATCGACAGGAACATCACTCTTCAGGGACAATACTGTACATGGACAACACTATATAGTGACATTAATCGACAGGAACATCACTCTTCAAGGACACTACTGTACAGGGACAACACTACACAGTGACATCAATTGACAGGAACATCAATCTTCAGGGACAACACTACTGTACAGGGACAACACTACACAGTGACGTCAATTGACAGGGACATCAATCTTGAGGGGCACTACTGTACATGGACAACACTACACAGTGACGTCAATTGACAGGGACATCAATCTTGAGGGACACTACTGTACATGGACAACACTACACAGTGACGTCAATTGACAGGGACATCAATCTTGAGGGACACTACTGTACATGGACAACACTACACGGTGACGTCAATTGACAGGGACATCAATCTTGAGGGGCACTACTGTACATGGACAACACTACACAGTGACGTCAATTGACAGGGACATCAATCTTGAGGGGCACTACTGTACATGGACAACACTACACCGTGACATCAATCGACAGGAACATCACTCAACAGGGCTATTCAACTATGTTTAGTCAGAGGCCAAATTTTCAAAACGGAGAAGGTGATGGGGTAAAATGCCGGATCTTCTTGCAATACAACTGTCAATGATCCGCAGGCCACTTACTAGGCCTTCGCTGGCCAGATTTGATTCATGGGCCTCCAGTTGAATAGCCCCGCACTACAGGGATATCACTCTACAGACACCAGAATCTAGTGACACCACTCTAAAAGAACTTCACTTTCCCCGGACATTACTACAAGGAAACACCACTCTACAGATACCAGAATCTAGTGACACTACTCTAAAAGAACTTCACTTTCCCCGGACATTACTACAAGGAAACACCACTCTACAGGGATATCACTCTACAGATACCAGAATCTAGTGACACCACTCTAAAAGAACTTCACTTTCCCCGGACATTACTACAAGGAAACACCACTCTACAGGGATATCACTCTACAGACACCAGAATCTAGTGACACCACTCTAAAAGAAATTCACTTTCCAGGACATTACTGCACGGAAACACCACTCTACAGGGATATCACTCTACAGACACCAGAATATAGTGACACCACTCTAAAAGAACTTCACTTTCCACGGACATTACTACACAACCCTGCATTAGAACTTCACTCAGCAGGGGCATCGGCCTACAGCGGTGGTTATCAACCTTCCTAATGCCGCGACTCTAATAAAGTTTCTCATGTCGTGGTGACCCCAACCATAAAATTATTTGTGTTGCACTTTAGTGAATGTTTTTTGGTGGTCTTAGTCAACCCCTGTGAAAGGGTCGTTGGACCCCCAAAGGGGTCATGAGGCACAGGTTAAGAACCACTGATCTACAGGGACATCACTCTACAGGAACCAGACCAGTGCTAGATTTACATATAAGGTAAATAAACTACTGCTTGGGGCCTCACAGTCTGTAATGGTCTCAAAATATATCTGGAAAATCAAGTGGTGGGACCGGGGCTGACATTGGGATTTTTTTTAAACCCCATAGGCAAAGAAGAACCAACAACAACAAAAAACGGATTGTTGAAAAGTACAAATTTCATAGTTACTAAACGAAACATTTACCTAATTTTATCTAAGGATATATTCTTAATGAAACCCAGATTTAAAAATCTGAACCCAAGGCGTCAAATAAAAACTCAGATCTGGGGGTAAAACCCCAGCATTGGCAGCTCTGGGTGGGACTCCACACCCCGGGGGGGGGGGTGACGTTTTGAGATGCAACTAAGAGCCTGTTACTGGATTATATAATCTAATTTATGAGTTTTGCAAAAACATTCTTTGTAATATTAAAATTTTTGTAAAGAGTTTTCGGAGATTAGCTGGTGTAACTTTAAATACTAGAGACCTCAGGGTTTTATTTATCTTGGGTCTCAAAGTCTAAATCCGTCCCTGAAGCCGACTCTACATATTTCTCGAACCCCGACTTCTTGTTACATCTAAATCGGGAGCTATAAATCTATTGTCACAACCTCTCAAGGTTCTACGTGTGAGCGTCTGATGGGATTTATGTTCGTGATCTGCGTGTACTTTATCCGTGTCAGAAATGCCACCTCTACGGTCTTCATGCCCAAATACCAAAGCTTACTTGACGTGTTGCCCGGCGGTCGCTGCAACCGCCGGAACAAGTCTATCACTACACCAGCCGACTACTAGACACCGCATCCATTAAGACGAATTGGCCGGACTTGATCTAATAAGTGCGCTAGGCTGCTAGATGTTCCCCACTGATGGCCTGTTTTGACTTGAATACGGTATCCAATCATGCACGAGGACGCCCGTATTCAACGCTTTTAAAGAATACAGAAATAAGATAACGTGGCGGGGATGGGGGGAGTTTACAGACACACTGGAAGCTTTCTTGTCAGTGCAGCACCTGGACAGGGGTTAAGGGGTAAGAGGATGGAGTGGCATGTGAAACATGGAGCCGCACAGAACAGAGGCTGGGCCGATGAGAAGGGGAAAAACAGCAGTAGCCTTCTAAAGAATTCAACATAAAATGAGACAGGAGACAACGAGCGTTCTAATGCAAACAACATCACGATGACAACGTACAATACTTGACTTGTCAAAGACACAGCATATGACCAACTAGTATGGACGAACAGACGAAATGTGGGTTTTTTCCAAAGTAAACGTAAAAATAAAGGAATATTTTCAAACCTCAAGTATACAGTTTTGGTGACATTTTTAAAGGCCAGTCAGCACTCAATGAGGTGAAGAAAAGACGCTGACGTTGGAAATGACATACACTGAGAAAACCTGAGAGCAATATAACTAGAATGTTTCTGCACTGGAACCCACAGGGGCATTTAAATAAAGGAAGACCAAAAAAAAAAAACAGAAAAAAAGCTAGAGTGAAGTTAAAACGATAAGGAGAATATGAAGAGAGCTGCATGCGATAGCGAAGGACATGGCTTGAGTTGGTTACGCTTCATTTGGGGGTGGGGGAAAGGCACTCAATGGTTGATATGGGCAACATCATACCGACTTCCTTGATTTCCAAAGTCATCATATAAGAGCAGACTAACTGGTAGCTTCTTTCGAAGCCGGAGTGCATCTGCCTGAGAGGCACGGAACCAAAAGTTTGTAAACAAATGAGTGAGATCAGCAAAACAGATACGCACGCAACACTCAGGTTCTGGAACAGGACTGCGGTCCAGAAGTGGATAAACAATCAGAACTTGTCGCCAGAGTTTACAGCTAGTGAACGCAATGAAGAAGAAGAACATGAACAACTACCCGTTTTAGGCCTGGCTAATTTGGGCGATCTGAACGCTGGACCTTTGGTCCAGCAGTCGAACGTTTACTCGCTAAACAACCGCAGCACGATTTTCTTTTCAAGACATAAGATCAAATAGTACGGGCGCCGTACAATTGTTGAGTTTTCCTATACACGCGATCCCCCGTGTGGGTTCCGGGGCCCCATTGTGGGGAAAACAAGAATAGACCCACTGCCTCGTAAGAGTCGACTAATTGGGGAGCTTCCTTTGAAGTCTGAGTGCATCTGCCGGAGAGGCAAGGAACCAACAGTCTGTATTCAAGAGAATGAGATCTGTAAAACTGATGCACACGCAACACTCAGGTTCTGGAGCAGGACTGCAGTTCAGTAGTGGACGAGCAACCAGAGTGTACAGCTGGTGAACGCGAAGAAGAAGAAGAAGAAGAAGAAGAAGAAGAAGAAGAAGAAGAAGAAGAAGAAGAAGAAGAAAAGAAGAAGAAGAAGAAGAAGAAGAAGAAGAAGAAGAAGAAGAAGAAGAAGAAGAAGAAGAAGAAGAAGAAGAAGAAGATATACACACGATAAGATTAAACTGCGGAAAATGTAAAATTCTTGTGTTTTCAGACACACGCGATAAGATCAAACAGTACAGGAGCTTGATTTGGTACTTTCTTATTAAACGACCACAAACAGGGAAAATCCACAGGTCATGGGACAGATAAATATTTCAGGGGGTGGTAGATTAAGCGTGTAGGTTTCGCTAGGGTTAGGTAAACGCGGGAAAATCTTGGCCATGGAAGAAACGCGCTAAAGCACAGAAAACCCGCTTTTGAAACCCTCTAAAGTAGTAAACAGCGTCTAGCCGCTACACCACGGCGGCTCCAGAAAAGAGAGAGAGAGAGAAGAAAATTTGGTACTTTATTAATATTCTACCCCAGGTGACGTCACGGGACAGTCCAATATTTTATAGGGTGGTA